AACATTCTTAGCAAGAGGCGAGTGTCAGCTGTGGCAGTGTATGCAATTATTGTTCTTTAGGAGATCAAAGCTTATTCTATTACTGTATCCATTTGAAGGTAAAAGTTATAATTGAGGAATAGAAATGGGATTTGCTGGTCAAAAATGAGCTTTAACAGTGACTCTTAAACCCTTTGGTATAAACAAGGTGTTTCTAATACCATCTGGGTGGGTACAGATAGAACTGAACACAGGTCTAGGGTTCCTTATTTTTATTTGAGCTCCTGACAGATGTTATGCAGCAGACATGTGCAACCTGCCTTCTATCTCCAGTTCCTCATGAGGTGTAAATTTATGTCTTTGTACTTTTTATTTAAATTATAATGTTGGGAGCTTTAGGATAATATGACCAAAGGGATAACTGCAAAGATAACCTTAGGCTGGTGCATTTTTTCCTGTGGTCCTTAGATTAGTCCTTATGCAGTGTCTTAAATACTCGTAATTTAATTGGAAAACTAAATCTTTCAGGCTTGGCATCTGTCCAGGGGAACATCCCAAACTGTGTGAGCTGTGTTCAGATTTCTTTGTGATGAGAGGCTGAAACTCCTCTAATTTGAGGGAGAAATGTGATTCAAGTGTACAGTTGTGAAGCTTGCAGACCAGGTGAATACAAATAGTTCTTCAGCAAAGTTTGCAGTGGTAGAACAAGAGTGACTTTCTGAAACTAGGAAGGGAATAAATTAAATTACTAAAAGTAGTTATTTTAACAGTGGACTGCTAAATACTGCCACAGAGTCTGTGAGTCTCGTGCAGTCTGCCACAAGAGGTTGTGAAGGCATGTTCAAAAGATGGTTAGATGGATTTGTGGACAGCAAGTCCATGAACTGCTTCTGATGGGAGTAAGTAGAAATGTAGCCTTTAATTTTGTGTTGTAACAGTTTAAATTGCTGAAGGAATATGAGGAGAGTGGACTGCAAGAAAACAGCCAGGTTCGTATTTTCCTTGAGTAGCGTGTCCTTTTGCCTCCTTAGGAGACTTTGGAGCACTAGGCTGATGCACCATTGCTGCTTTTTCATTGCAAAATCAACATTTATCCAAATTGCTCATAATTCAGCCCATTCATGCCTTGCAGGTTGCACTGTCTTCTCTAGGCTTGGAGCAGAGTGCCTTTTTCATAAATTAAGCTGGCTGAAATACTCTCATGTGAGTACTCATCACTATTGTCTGAAGTATTAAGCTGAATGAAGTCCTGTCCTACTTGTGTCACATTCTCTCTGCTCACCCTTTGAAAGATACAGCGCCACTACTGGAATAACTTACTGACATTCTTATTGATAAGTCCTGGCAAATCCCTGACATGGCAAAACAGTAGCTAGAAGGAAAGAGTTAGTTTAAGCCTCCCAGACTCCTAGCCTGCAGCTGTGATGTATGTTGTGTTTTTGTTAAATAGCTGCTAAGCTGTAAAAGTCATTGCTAGAAAGGGCTCTTTAAATGTGTCTCTTAGTGTTTTGGGTTTTTTTACAGCTAGTTTTCATGGAGGTAACAGATCAATTTGTGCTTTTTGACATCTGCAGAAGCTGGATGAACACACACAGCAAGGCAACTGTATAAAATTAAGTGTAGTATCAGGAAATTTCTGATTAGTTAGGTTTGAGGCTACAGTCTTTTGGAAATGTGAAAAGAGATTTTTTTAAAATTTATTTTCCTCTGAATATGTCAAAATCATATGTGAGTTCAAATACAGAAAAAAATTGAAATGTGTAGAATTTCTAAATTCCTTTGTGCTCCATGCCTTAAGTTACTCAATGTGTGTTTGAAGCAGAAAGGCAAATCTTTGTTAGAAAAAAAAAGAAACCACTGGAGAATACGTAAAATTATATTTCATTCTTAGGGGAGAGAATACTGCAAAACTGAACATCTCATCATAGGGAGTATTAAAAAGCTGAAAAGTTGGATAAAAGCATTGAGAATGTTTGGAAGGCCTAGAAGAATAGGCTCCAAAAGGCTGTTTACTGCCTTGGTGGTAAATGAGACCTTTGTGAAGTCTGTGTTTTATAAGGCTGACAGTAAAAGGAGCATTCTCTGGCATTGAAAAGTGTCAAATTTAAAGCTAAAGAACAGAAAATACTCAGATAAGGATAAGAATTGGTGTGTGGATCACCAATGATAGTGGTGGTTGATTGCCTACATCTGTCAGCCCTGAATTTAACATTCAGATACTGTACCATCAATTGCTGCTTTTTGAAACAGGGTCTTAAAAACCAAAGAGGTTGTCTCCTTTAGTTCAGTCTTTCTGAATTTCTTGTGTGTGCCTCTGAAGTACCCAATGCTGGCCTTGTTCAAAGGCTGGTGTATTTTTATAAAGCTCCCAGTGTCTGCTGCTCCCTGGTTTAGAAACTGAGTGTATTTCTTCAACCAGCGGAGGCCATGCAAGCCTGTGTGTTTAATCTCTGGAGCTGCTGGTGTACTCATTAGGGGTCTAATGTGTCTCACTGCCGGGCTCTCAAATGGTTCAGAGCATGTCAGGCTGCTTAATTCGGCTTTGTCACCAAAATAAATGATTTAAATTAAAGCACATTTCCAGCTATGCAGTCAACACTAGCACTGCAGTTGAAGTCTGGTGCTAGAGTTCTTTTTCCCACTCCAGTAATTCATCTGACATCACTTGTAGTACATCACTACCATGTGTGAGCAGCTCGTTAGCTTGAAAGAGAACTAACTTGGCAAAAAACCCATAAAATTGGTGGGTCTTTACTCTTAGCTGGCTGAATCTTTGTGTAAGAGCATTAGCACTGGTGCTGAGGTGGTGGTGCCACAGGAAAGAAAGGAAGGGGAACTGGCCTTCCTGTGTCAAGAAGCTTTTATGTTGACTTGACTCTTTATGATACTGTAGAGTCCGAATCAGTGTTTCATTAAAAAATGTTTTCAGTCCAGTTTATTTTTCTTGTTTGCTGCAGCCAGGCCTCAAATGCAATGCTCAACAAAACCTGCAGTTGGAGTTATTTGGGACAACTTGATAATAATTTAATGTTACTGGAAGAAGGAAATTTCTTTATAGTCTTTGAAAATAAATGCTTTAACTTCTTACCGGGGCCTGTACTGACAAAAATGTGCAACAGTTTAAATCTGAGAGAGAGCTGATCTGGGTTGGGTATAAGGAGGAAATTCTTGTCGCTGAAGGTGGTTAGGTCAGGGCACAGGTTTCCCAGAGCAGCTGTGGCTGCCCCATCCCTGGAAATGCTGCAGGCCAGGTTAGATGGAGCTCCGAGTAGCCTGGGATAGTGGAAGGTGTCCCTGCCCATGGCAGAGAATGCAGCAAGATGATTTTTAACAGTCCCTTCCCAAAGCACTCAGTGATTCTGTGACTTAGGATGGATTATTTTCAATGACTTGCATAAAATTATCAGTGTCGATCTTGGTCCCTGTTAATTAGAACTTCTGTCTCTGTGACCCCAGAAAACTACATTGCTTGATTCACTCATATTTTTGGGTGCTCTGAGAAGCCGGTTTTTGGAGATGTAATTTATATGAAACTGAAATGTCATGCCTACTGAATGTTCTGTTTTGTGAAGTTGCAAAGTTATGACTTAAATTACCTGTAGAATATAATCTAGTGTTTGTTGACTTTGCCCTCACTGAAACTGCAAGTATGTGAGAAGGCATAAATTAGCCATGAATTCTGTAGCCTGAAGTACCTCGAATCATGCCGTTGTGCAGGTGGGCGATTTCAGTAAGATGAAGTTGGTATATTTTGGATAGATGTGGGGAGTGTGCCTGTAAAGGTTGGAGAGGCATGTAAGCTGCCTTCAAAGCTCAAATCAAGTAGCCTGAAGGTAGTGCTAGCTTTTAGCTAAAACAAGGTATTTTCAGCTGACTGAACTAACTTACACAGCTTGGGAATATGGGAACTTTCTGGAGTTGAAATACCCATTTGTTGCCTAGAAATAGGACCATTTTTGACTTCAAAGCTATGCTTTCATCCATAGGACCATTAATGTCCTTGAGCAATTTCTAACAGCTGTCTGCCTGTTGATTTCAGGTATTTTATTTTAATGCCTAAAACCAGTCTAATGGAAGCTGCAAAAGCAAGATGCTTTTTTCTAAGTGGCTATCATTTCTCTTTTAAATGATTTGAAGTGCATATTGCAGTGAATGCTAAACATAGCTCCTGTTTCAGCATCCCTTTTAATATTTCATTTTATATTAATATCCTGATCAGGATATTAAGGGAGTTATACTGAATGAAAGGCTATCAAAATTGAAAACAGACAGTTCTACTACCCTGATGCCTGCAAACTAAGATTTTAATTGTTCCTTTAGTGAATTTTGAAAGACTTGATTTTAAGGGCTGCCAGCTGAGAAGATTTATTATCGATAGGCCATTGAATTTCAGGGGGGAATAGGCTTATTATTAGACTTAGGGGGAAACTGAATTTGATGTCCCCAAGGAAAAAAATTGATAGTTATTTAAAACATGACCAAAAAAATGAGGAAAGATTTGTGAAATGGCTGGCTGTTGGAAGGTTTCTGTCAAGCTATAATGACTAAATCACCTTCCAAACACAATTTCACCTGCTAAATTAATTTGGAGATGGGCAGAACATGCAGATATGTGTATGCAATTTGCCAGTCACTTGTGGAAAATACTAATAAAGTACTAAAACTGGCTAGCCCTGCTACAAAGCTAGACTCAAGTTACCTTCTGTATTTGCTGAAGTTTGCTTTAGTCATAAAAGACTTGAGAAGAAATTAATTTTCTATTCTAACAGTAATCTTGGTCTGTGTTAGCTGTTAAAGAGCCTACAGCAAACTTCATCTCTTGATCTTTATCGATGAAGTATCTAACCATGGTACAGACTACTTCTGAGCTATTTATGTATTTTTTTTTTTTAATTTTTTTTTTGGGGGGGGGATGCAGTGTCCTGTGGCATTTGGCTGTAAAAGGTCCTAAGGCTGACAGGTGTTTGTTTCATGTGAAACCTCAGTGGTAACATGTCTCTTGTTTTGGTTTGTGTTTTTAGGGATCAGACGGGAATCTCCAATTCATTGCTTGCTGAGTTTCCTGTCTGGTGAAAGTCATGTCATCCATATTGCCATTCACTCCACCAGTTGTGAAGAGACTTCTGGGGTGGAAAAAATCTGCTGGTGGTACTGCAGGGGCTGGTGGTAGTGAGCAGAATGGTCAGGAGGAAAAGTGGTGTGAGAAAGCAGTGAAAAGCTTAGTCAAGAAGCTAAAGAAAACAGGACAGCTGGATGAACTTGAGAAGGCAATTACCACTCAGAATTGCAATACAAAATGTGTGACAATACCAAGGTAAGTGCTGTTGTATTTGAAATTTTTACAGCCACTTAGGAAATGACTAAATGGATGCTCAGACCTTCTGTGAACAAACGACTAAAAAACCAGTTGCATGTTTTTGATTCTGTATTGGATTATTACAGTGCTTCCTTATAACTGAATCACATGCTTTGTGAAGTCACAATTTACATTGAAGTTACATTTCAATTTACATTCCAAGTGAAGTTACATTTCAATTTTCATTGATATGTAGGGTCCTGTTTGTATGTATTCTGATGATTTCAGTTTAACACTGTTCTTAGTTTGTAGCACTGCCTTATGCTTTATATTTAAAAACCCTGTCTATACTTGGGGAGGGGGGCATGCTTGAACCAACACTGTCCCTTCAAAAAATATCAAAAGACTAGTTTTTCCTTGGTCAACACTTCAGTAATCTAATTATTTTTGGTTATATCTGCTAGCTGAAGTTGTGCAAGCTGCCTCCATTATCCTTAAAAAGGGAAATTTTGTCTTTGGATGAAATTCAGGTTGTCTGAAGACCAGTTAATTTACTGTAATTATTGTTACTGTTTAATGAAAGCACTTTTTGTTTAATAACATGGGGTACTTCTAGAATTGCTCTTCTGCTCCTGATATGTATAAACATTTTGATGAATGACCTGCATTCTACCCCTTTGACTTTCCCAGCTTAATTCATAGCAACTGCTGTGCGAGAGCAAGGGTTTGTAAGTATTATGCAGTCTGCTCTTGATTCATGTTGCACTGAGATCCCACTGGGGTGCCAGGGCAAGCTCATTGTGTGTGACAGAAGTATCAAATCACTTCGCAGGTGTGGTTTTCCATGGAAAAGTTAGAGGATCTCACTTTTCTGGGCATTTAAGTCACTTGACACCAAAAATATTTATAGAGGAGAGAAACTGCATCTGTTTTATGAACTTCATTTCGGTATTAGCACATTCATCCTAGCTACTTTTAAACTTTGTATTAATCATAGTGCAAACTAGATTTGACTGGTGCCACTAATGATTCTATATATCAAATGTGTTGTAGCTGTTATCTGATAATGATTTCAGCATTCTGTTTTCGATTTGACACAGCTATCTGGGAAAGTCATAAGTATGCCCTGAATGAGTGACTATTTTAATTCTTTTTTTTTTTCTTCCTCTTTTCTGTTCACCTTTTGTTTCTAATGCTGCCCTCTGCTCTTATTTTCTTCCCTAGAATATACCCAAAAATTTCTGTCTCTACCTTCTGCCTTTTTCCAGATTGAAGCAATTGATTAAAAAACATTAGCACTTTCTTGTTTTAGTGTAGTATCAGCAGACTAAGATTGGAATCTGTAAAGTTATGTATTTCTTGTGATTACTCTGTGTATTTATCAAGTCTTTACTGAGACAAATATGAAGTGCTAAATTCGAAGTTGTTTCATAGGACAGAAGTTAAACACACTTGAAATAAAATGTGTATCTATCTTCTAGAGCTCTTGGATTTTATAGAGCTCTCCTGCAGGGATACTGGAGCAGTAGATAACTGCTACTTCAGAAAAATAGGTGTCTACAATGAATTTCGTTAGAAGGTACTTGGAGTATTCTAATACATCATTATTTTTGAGCTTCTATACTACTCATAGTAGACTAGAGTATGCTTGCATGACCTTTTATGCTAAAGTAGACATAATAAATAATTCTTTAAAATGGAATACAAATATTCTGTGATCAGCAGTTCTTGCTTTTCTCTGTCTTCCGCTCAGCTGTAAAAAGAACTGGACCTGGATTTTACTTCTCTTGAGTTCCTTAAGAGTAAGCCAGTAAGCATTCTTCAGGTGGTGTTGGCTATTATACAGCGTTTAATTTTAAACTAAAAAACGGTTTTGGCATTAAGGGGCAGGGTGATATCAAGGTTGCCAGCAGTGCCATACAGAATTTTTGTATTTCACAGCTGGGTTTTGTGTTGTTAATATTACTTCACTTTGACAGCGGGTTCCCAAGGAATAAATGTCAACTCAGTACTGTAATGACTTCTTGGAGATTCTCTTCTTAGATTTAGTAAGTTAATGAAACCACTGTTTGCGACCCACTTTAATGAGTGTCTTAAAGATCTGCAGATCAGCAGGGATAAATAATAAAATGCTGAATTTGAAACTTTTTTCCTTACTAGTCAGCAGGAAGTTTGTGGTGCCAAGCTGCTGAGATGCAGTTCTGATGTGACAGCTGGGCTAGCTTTCCAAATGTTCTGCTTGGGGAGGGTTTTTGTGTGTGTTGATTTTTTTAGCTAGCTTTAGTTTTACCTACTACTGCTTTTTAATTTGGTGTAGATATTGACAACTGTCGTGGGATGCTTCTGTTTGTCACTGTTGCATTATTCCTTAAAAAAAGTTTCAGTTGAAGTTTCACAAGTTTCTGGTCCCCTGGGAGATTTCCAGAGTGTTTGATACGGTGTTTAACTCTAGTATACTTTTTCATCATTGAATCCTAAAGCATCTGAACTCCCACAGACATTTCACCAAACTGAGAAGCAGCCTGAACAAAAGTTGTATTAAGTCACCTACTCAGAAATCTGCATTTCTTACTGTGTGTCATTGATGATCATGCTGAATCAGGTGTATTCTGCTCCTGTGCTGTTTGTCAAGGTGACTGCACACTAAAGGAGGCTGATCCTATGTGTACTACACAAAAGCTGCTCATGTGGTAATTAACACAACTTCTTATGAGACTAATGGAGGTTCTGAGAAAGCAGAAGCAAACAGATGGAGTGGGTGTTGGCATTGCACAGCAGGATTGCTTAGCTCTTCATAAGTGGGTCAGTAATCTAGAGCAGAGGCTAAATAAGTACAGAAGTCGTTTTGACACTAGCCCTCTAAGTAATTTGTAGCTATCTTGCTGAATCCTCCCAGCAAGCCAGTGGGATTCTAATCACATAATCCCTGTGTATTCTGAAACTACATGTTGGCACGTGAGTTCACTTTTCTAAAATACATAGTGAATTTGGTGGCATTTAAGAGCTTGTCTTCATCCACTCTCATTCCGCTTTGACATGGGTGGATGATGCAGTCAGTGGAGAGACAGTGTGAGCATCCTTCTTCTAATGGAACAGTTTCTTCCTTCCTAGCCTCGATTATTCTTTTGAATCTCAGAATCCTAGAATGTTTTGGGTCAAAAGGAAGCTTAAAGATCATCTAGCTCCAGCTCTCCTCCCATGGCCATGTGCAGAGGCATCATCCACAAGACCTGGTTCCTCAAAAGCCAGTCCAGAAGTGATTTCTAACTAGTGACGTCTGAAAGTCAAGCATTTAACAAACCAAACCATACCATGTAGTGAATAATGAGCTGACATATTGACAGTCTTATCTTTGTTATTTAAAAAGTTGCTTCAGTGGTAACAGCACAGAGAATTGGAATCCAAAGTATGGAAGCATCCCAGTATTTTTATGTGATGAGCTGAGTCATTTTCTGTCTTAAAAAGAGTACAGATATGCTTCATGCCTTATTTTTGCTTCTTTTAAATGAGACCAAAATACAGTTGCATTTGTAATGTGCTTTATAATGTGCAACTAATAAAAAGAGTTTGGTTGGGTCAGGTTTGGGATAATAGTGACCTGGGCTGTTGTAGCTGCTATATTTCCGAAATTGGAAATAAATTAAAAAACAAAAGCTAAAGGAAGGGAAGCATTGAATTTGGACAAATTTTTGTTGACATTAGTAGCAGTAGTTACATTACAGCTATTGTATATAGTTGTTTTTGATCCTGTATAGTTAACACTTGAATCTCAGCTTTAATTGAAGGCCTTAGTTCCTGCAGAGGAGGTAAATTTTACTGCTGCTTTATATTAAATTGCATTACAAAAGCAGAGCAATGTTGAATGTTGATGCAAAGCACCCTGACAGATTTTTGGCTGAAGTGAGGTTTAAAAACCAGCTTTCTGAAACAGCAGCTCAGAGGCTTTCTGCTGGGGTGCTGGTACCATGCAGGTGCCTCAGAATCTCAGGTGAAACACAGCAGTTGGTTCCAGAGCAGATCAAGGGCTAATACTCCTGTCAAGCTCTTGCTTTTTAGACAGCTTTTCTATTACAGTTCTAGTATTATCTGGTCTTACATGTGCCCTCTGTCCCTCTTGTTGAACATGAGGATAGCTGCCCTGTGCCATGGTTTAGAGATGCTTATTTTTGCTTTTTTTTTTTTGCTTTTTTTTTTTTTTTTTTTTAGCTTCCTAATTTTGACTCGGAGAGTAAGAATGTAGATGATCTGTGGAATTTACACTCTATACTTAGATTTCTAGAGCACTTGGCTTCTGCTTCCGATATGAGTTGAATTCTCAATTTTTGTTCCATTCAGAATCAAAGAAAAAAACCTTACAATGGATTCCATAGTTTTGGGAATGTGGAAGATCGTGAGGGAGTGTTGGGAATGTGAAACAACAGCTACAAAATGAAGTGATTGGTTGGAATTACCGATCAACTTCATTAACATTGGTGCTTCTTAGAGTTTTTTAGGATGAAGTAGTACTATTTCAAATATTTTAAAGCCGTACTTGTATGGCTTGCACTTCGTCCAATAGTGAAGGCTGATAATTTGTTTAACTGCTCCTACAGAATTGGTCACACTCTGATTCTTCTGGGGAAATAAGGTGTTGTTATTTAAGGGTTGCATTCAGAATACCTTCCTGATATTCTTTCTTAAAGAATGTAAAAACACAGTAGCACTGATTATACATTGATAGCATCTGAAGGCTGTAATGTTTTTGGGTTTGGTTGTTGTTTGATTAGGGGTTTTTTGTGAAGTAAATATCCATGTGACTTCTGAGCCTGAAAGACTGCTCTTGATGCTGAAGTGAATAATGCTATTGACACTACTTCTCTTAGGCTTGCTTAAAGTATCCAGGAAATAAATCCAATGTATCTTAATTTTGCTGTATTTCAGATGTATCAATGCCTCAGTACTTAAAACTTCAGAATCTGATGAAAATTTATTAAACAGGTAAAAGTAGAGCCATTTAACCCATCAAAATCCTTGAAAGA